GTCATGGCGAGCTCAGTGGTGAAGTACCTAAGGTAGGCGAGGCCGCGGGCTGGCCAGCAGGGCGCGAAAATTTGGCTGGACAGCGCTCCCACAGGGGGCGGGACCTGAGGCTGCGAGCCGCCTGTGCAACGGAGCCCCAGAGGGGGCAGACTCAGGGCCAGGGTTTCCCTCAGCCAGGAGGAGGCCCAGGCGGTGGACCAGGAGCTGTTTAACGAGTACCAGTTCAGCGTGGATCAGCTTATGGAGCTGGCCGGCCTGAGCTGTGCCACAGCCATCGCCAAGGTCAGTGGCACAATTTAGGGGAGTAGCAAAGCAGTCACTGCTTGAGCCCCCTAACCTAGGCACAGAGGCGGGAGAGACAGTTGGAGCAACCTGGTCTGCCCCCGCCTGAAACTCCTGTGCATGTTTTGACCCTCCTTCAGGCATATCCTCCTACATCCATGTCCAGAAGCCCCCCTACTGTCCTGGTCATCTGTGGTCCCGGGAATAATGGAGGAGATGGCCTGGTCTGCGCTCGACACCTCAAACTCTTTGTGAGTTGGTGGGGAGGGTGCTGGGGAGGGTGTGGGGATCCCAGCGTCAGGGCTGAATTATACTCTTTTCCTCCAGGGCTACCAGCCAACCATCTATTATCCCAAAAGACCTAACAAGCCACTCTTCACTGCACTGGTGACCCAGTGTCAGAAAATGGACATCCCTTTCCTTGGTGAAATGCCATCGGAGGTAGGTGGCCCCGTTTGGGCCCTATTAGCCACGGGCTGCACGTGCTCTTCCCTCACATTCCCAGGCTGAGCTCGTGTTCTGGGCCTGGCACAGGAACCTGGAGGCCAGCTGAACAGCAGTGCAGGGAGAGCTCCACCAGGTGTGCTTCTGGGTTGGTCCCCTGCCCCTTCTCTGGGCCTTGCTTTGCTGTCATCTTCCCTGGTCACTCCTGCTCTGTGGTCAAGGCCTCATCCCTGGCATGCAGTAAACATGAAACCTGCCCCTCTGGGGACGGAGAAAATGTCTTATCCAGAAACCTTTCTGCATACATGTGGATTTAGAAGTAAAAACTGAGTTTGTAAAATTTCTTTACACATTTTACAAATGGAGTTACTGCAGTGCAGGGAAGTGTTTGCCCAAAGTCAGATCATGTGCCGAGCAGAGTCCAGGGTCTGGCCCTCCGGAGTCCCAGCCCCAGGCTGCCCGCGCTGTGGCCTCCCCAGGAGCAGGCAGGCACTCGGAACATCTGGCAGCTTGGCTTGAGTCAGTGACCGCTCACGTCTACTCTAGGCCCCAGGATGTCCCTGATGAGATTGTGCTGGCACCCCGGGAACGGTCTGTGGTCTGTGGTGTGGGACAGCCCTCTCCAGTGAAGCCATCTCCGCGGCTGCCGGCTGATGTCTCGCCTCTTCCTGCTCTTCCACAGCCTCTGATGATCGAAGAGTTGTATGAGCTGGTGGTGGACGCCATCTTCGGCTTCAGCTTCAAGGGTGACGTTCGGGAGCCATTCCGCAGCATCCTGAGTGTCCTGAGTGGACTCACAGTGCCCATTGCCAGCATCGACATCCCCTCAGGTGCTGGGACCACAGCTGGGGATAGGAGAGCCTGGATGGGGGCGTGGGGCCTGTCCCGTCTCCAGCCCAGTACCTGGCAGTCCTGAGTCTTAGACCAGGGCTCAGACCAGGTCTAAAACAACTTGAGTCTAGACTACAGCTTTCTGGACCCCACGAGGGCTGGGGAACAGAGTGCAGGAGCCCCCTTTCCATGTTGACCCCACAGAGAGACAAAGCCAGGGGTACACAGACTCCTAGGATGAGATCCTCGGGTGGGGACTGAGGGGCTTCCCACTCCTTTAGACCTGGGGTAAAGCCAGGTGTGGAAGGGACGCAGACACTGCGCCTCTTCCTGAGTCCCACCCCCTTTCCAGGCTGGGATGTGGAGAAGGGCAACTCCGGAGGGATCCAGCCAGACCTGCTCATCTCCCTGACGGCACCCAAAAAATCCGCAACCCAGTTTACCGGCCGCTACCACTACTTAGGAGGTCGCTTTGTGCCACCTGCCCTGGAAAAGAAGTACCAGCTAAACCTGCCATCCTACCCCGACACCGAGTGTGTCTACCGCCTGCAGTGAGGGCCGGCAGGCTGCCTTCTCCCAATAAAGACCCAGCCTCTCCCAGAACCGCAGCCCCGGGAGCATTTCCGACAATGACGGGTAGGGGCTGGCAAGAGCAGAGAGCAGCACGGAGACAGGACGCGGCCTGGGGGAGGGGATAAGCCGGCTAGGGGCTGCTGTGGCCTTGGACATGGCGAAGGTGACTGTTAGAAGCCGAGGGAGGTGCTCGGGGGCCTAAGGAAAAACCAGGGAATATCCAGGACCCTCCTAGGTGGGAGCGCAGGTGCTAGTCAGACTCATCTGTAGGCTAGGAGCCCAAGCTGCCGTTTATTCTCCTGTCTGGTAACGATGTCCTGGCCTCTGTGGGCAGAATCTAGCCCACAGACTGACATTTTTGTTTTCCTTAGCCTCAGCTCCTTTTAGCAGGGCACCAGCGTCTGTTCCCACACCCCCCAGCACCCCACCCCTCAGCCGTCAGGCTCCCACAGGCCTGCGTGCGGTCCTGGGGTCAGAAGCTCCAGGACTGCGCCTGCTCCCTCAGCTGAGGCATGTTAGCCCTCCTCTCAGCAGACTCTGTTCCAGAGCTCAGTAGCTTCCTGTGGGGGCCCTCAATTATGGGGTGCAGAACACCTGCATCAACCCACCGCTGAGGCTCCCACGCCTAGAAAGGACTTGTTTAGGCCCCACCCTGAGCAACCCTCACTCGCGCTTCTTCTGTTTCTTCTTTTTGGCTCTTCGATCGTCGTCAGCTGCTCTCTCTTTCTCTGGCCGGGGCTGCCTCCTCTCGCCTCTGCTGCCAAAGTCGGCCTGTGCCCTGCCCTCTGCTTCCCTCAGCCTGCTGTCCTCCTCACCTTCATCCCTCCCAGCCACAACCTCCTCCGGATGCCGCCTGCTTTTCTTCTTTTTCTTGCCACTTTGGTCACTGTGTGCTCTGTCCCCATGGACTGCCATGGCCTCCTCGAGTTCACCCTCCAAGTTCCAGTCCTCACGCTGCCGCTTCTTCCTGCTCCTGCGGCAGGGCTCAGAGCATGTGGTGCCGTCTGCCTCTCTCGTCCTGACCCCACTTGTGACCTCATCTTCCCCCTCTGCACGGTGTCTCTTCTTTCTCTTCCTCTTCCTCAGGGCCGCATCTGTGTGCTCTCCACTCACCTCCCCAAGCGCGCTCAGTCCTGCCCCCCCACTCTCTGAGACCTGGTCTTCTTGATGTCGCCTTTTCTTGCTTTTCCGGTAGCTCTGGCCAGTGTGCTCTGGGAGCTGCTCCTCTGCGTTCCCTTCCATTGCTGTGGCCTCGTCCTCCTCTTTCTGCTTCCTTTTCTTTTTCTTTTTTTTGTGGGGCTTGCTCTCAGGCTGTGGTTGAGGGGTCCCATGGTCCTGGCCTTTGAGACGAGCCAGGAAGTCCTGTTCCTGGGCCTCTAGCCGAGCAAGCTTGGCCTTCATGGTGATCCCGAGCCGGGCAGCCCTGAAACCAAGATGAGCCCAGGTCAGAGCCAGAGTGGGAGGGGGAGAGGGACCTGTGCCTTGGGTCTGCAGGGAAAGCTGGTAGGGGTGGAGGGGCTGCCTGCCTTTAGGCAATAGATGGGGAGAAAGTGAGAACCATTTCCCTGGGGTCAAAGGAACCAAGAGCCGGCACCACCCATTCTCAAGTAGGGCAGAAAAGAGGGTGCGCAGGGAGCCAACCACCACTTACTTGTGTGCTGTTCGCCCCTCACAGGCTTGAAGCAGCATCTCGTCGGTCAGACTGTGGGTGGGAGAGGGGGAGTAACAGTCAGACCTGGTGGGAAGGCTTGGGCCTCTCCTTCCCTCTAAAACATTCCTCCTCACAGGCCTTGTTCAGAGCCTGGCACTCTGTAAGGTGCTAGGGCTATGACGATTAACACAATAGTCACAAACCCCAGAAGCCCATAGTAAGCAGTACACCTGAGACCAGAGGGCATCTCCCCCCAACACGGGCCCGTGCTAAACTGAAATCTCACATCTTTGGGGGCACGGGATCCTGGCTGTCGTCATCACTGCAGCTCTCCAGGTCTTTGTCTGGCTTCTCTCCACCTGAAGTCAGTGTGGCCATCTAGGAGGAGGGACCATGGGGTGGACAAGCCTACCCAACACACTGCCACCCCTCTTCCCTCATGTGAGTCCCCTCCCCCAGAATCCATGACCCTAGGCAGGAATCGGCCAGCCCCAGCACTGCTGCTTGCAGAGCCAGGGGGTGCCCAGGCTTGCACAGTCCAGCTTGGGCGGCAGAGTTACACAGGCCTCATGCATAGCTGGCTGGTGGGCAGGACAAGAAGGGAGGAGTAAGTGTTCTGGGCCGTCAGGGTCTTCGTGGTGAGACAATAAAAATGGAGCCCCTCCTCCCTGTCCACAATACCTCCTCACAGTACATTTATCCAGGTCTAATAAGGCTCTACTGTGACCACCAAGTTACGGGTAGAGTGGAGCAAGAACAAGGGGTCCAGCCAGATGGAGGCTACAGGCAGGAGGGAACAGGGAACAGGGCAAGACCTGGGCAGTTGTGGAGTGTTGCCTGTGCTGGAGGAAGGTATTCAGCACCAGCCTCAGGGCTTGGGGAAGTTTCTAGAAGGAGCTGATGTGCAGGCCGAGCTCCGGAAGATAAGTCAGCAGGTAAAGGGGGAAGGGAAAAGACCATCTAGGCAGATGGAGTGGCATGTGTAAAAGTTGAAGGTGGAAAGACATGACACCTTCAAAGAAAAGAAACAAATTCCATTTGGCTAAGGTGTCACGGACCTGCAGAGAAGTGGCAAGAGATGAGGCTGGAGCAGGCAGGGGTAAGACGTGAAGGGCCCCGTGAGCCAGTGTGGTCACCTTGTCGTCCCAGGTCAGAGGAACCAGTGCCACGGTGAGATCTGTTTCAGAAAGTAGGCTCTGGATGCTCTGGGGGGACAGACTGACTCGGTGGGGAATGAGAACAGGAGAGGCCACTGTTAAGTGAGGCACCAGGGGACAATGGCCTCAACTGGGTGGTAGATGGCAACAGAGATGGGGAAGATATGCTAGATAACACAGAAAACCCTTAGCATGTAACAGATGCCCGTTAACATGTTAGCTCCCTCAACTGGTACAGTAGAAAGCCAGTCTAAGACCTGGGTTCTAGTCCTGTCCGTCACTAGCCAGCTGTGGGCTGCAAGTCACTGTACTGTTTTAGTCACATCTGCAAAACAAGGAAGATGGACTTGTCCTGGATAAGCTCTCAGTTCTCTGGCTTCTGACTCCTCTGAATCAGACATGCTCACCACCCCCAGCAGCTCCTGACCTGCTCCCTCAGCAGGTGGCAGAGATCTATGAGACCCGAGGACCTCGATGCTTACTGCAGGTCTGGGCAGTCCAAGCAACAGCAAGGCTGGCCACAGGACCCACTGTTCGGACAGTCAGAACTGGTAGCACACCCACGGCAGTTGCTCAGGCCCAGGGGAGACCAGGGAAGAGGGGACAGACTCTCACTCCCAGCCTCTGATACCTTCACGAACTTCTGATACAGCAAGTTAGGTTTGGGGCGACGGTGTCCAGCAGTCTCCTTAGAAAGGTGTGTTATCTGTACCCCATCCTGTAGGGAAGTCTCAGTGAGCGGGGGACGCGCCATGTCTCCCACCCCCACAAGTCGCTCCGCCTAGCAGACTTCCTACCTGCCCGGTCTTCACCACCAAGTTGGCTGCAGTCTTGTTGAAGAGTTCATTCCACCAGTGGTTTGTGAACTCCTCGGCAGGGTCATGCCCCACCTGCCCGGGGAGGACATGTGGGTTCTGAGTAGCTGCCCCCGCTGCCCTCAGGGTCCCCCCTGCATCCATGCAGCCTTCCTCAGTCTGCTCAGTCTTACCCCATGCGTGTCCTGCTTCAGGGTCACCTTGAGGGCCTGGGTGATGCCGTTCTCCTTCCGGCCCAAGCCTTTGCCTGCAGAGGACAGCGAGTGACTTGGCTCAGTCCCCCGAGCCCTCCTGAGGCTACTCTTCACCATTCCGACACCCACACTGGGGCAGACTCTGCCTCAGGACACAGGACCACTCCTTGCAGTCCCCGGCCTTTAAGACTGAACCATTTCTTCCTTCAGAGCTTTTGGGACAGAGACCATGTTTTTTCTCCCTCAGTCCCCCCAACCACTTCTGCCTTATCATCCACTGTGAAATTTCTTCCATTCTTCCCTTTTCAGGAAAAGTCAGACAATTTCTTCCGCAAGTTTCCTTTAAACTAGCTTTTCCTCCTCCATCTGAAAGGCCTACAGGGGTAATCCAGGGCGATGGCTGAAGGTGGACAGGGAGCGGGAGATGCGGAAGAGGCCCCTGGGGATCACCTTGAGTCCATCCATGCTTGAGCAGCTGCTCCTCGGCAAACTTCATCCCACGACTCTTGACCTCTGTGGTGACACTCATGGTGAGCAAGGAGACTCTGTCCTCAGACTCTCACCGGGAAAGGAGAAGAATTTCATCCTTTTAAGAGGAAAGGAGAAAATGCTCAAAGCAGCCATCAACTCCATACTGACTGCTTGTACAAGAACTTTTTTTTTTTAATTTTGCTATACGGCACATGCACTTGCTAGAGAGACAGACAGAGAATGAGAAAGCACTCCCCAGGGGATAGCCACACACTCCATTCTTCTCTCGAGATCTGGGGCACACACGCATAGACGTCCAGCACACTTTCTGAGCTGCAGGGTCCAAGACTCAAACCACAAAGTCAGCTATGTGGGTGAGCAAAAATTCTTTTTCTTTAGCGGTGGGAGACACAGGGGAAGGCCTGGTCTTTGGGGAGCACCCTGCCTAGCCGTAGAGAGGCCAACATATCGAGAAGTCGAGGAGGACTGGTGTTAATGCTGATACCTAAATTTATGGAGAGCTCATCACATGCCAGGCTGTGCTAAAGCTTTACACGGACTGTTCCTTTTCGTCTTCCCAGGCTGTTCAGGAAAGTAGCCTTATCCGTTCTACAAGTGAGGAAACTAAGGCCTGAAGAGGTGAGGTGACTTGCTCATGGCTGTACAGCTAATGTGTGTGAAATGCAAACACAGGCAGCTTGTCTGCAGTCTGCACACTTTACCCCTACCTGATGACATTGCCCCAAATATGTCAACCGGTAAAAACAAAGCTATGGGTCCAGCAGATAGCATGGTTGTTAAGGCACTGGACTCCCACATGGCTAACCACAGTTCGAGTCCTAGATCTGGCAGCTTGCTTTTTGCTTGCTTGCATTCTCTCTCTCTCATGAGCACACATGCCCTATAGTAAATTAAAAATAATAATAAATTAGGGACCAGCAGTTAGCGTAATGGCTATGTCGCTAGACTCCCATGTAGTCGACCGCGGTTTGAGTCTCGGACCCGGTGGCTTAAACTCACAACGGGCGCGTGTGCGTGCATGTCCAAGATCCTGCGAGGAGAATGGAGGAGAAGGGATTGTGGTGTGGCCATACCCATGGGGGGTGATTTCTTGCTTTCTGTCTCTCTGTCACTCTCTGTCTCTCTGGTGAGCGCACGTCGTTCCCTATAGCAAAACCTCTAAAAAAATGAATAATAATAATAAATTAATCCTTTTTTAAAAAAAAGCTAAGTGGTTCCTACCACCCTGAGTTATAATGGCACTTAATAGAGCCGTATCCTATCCTATACCGTCTGCATTAACATTTACATTGTCTTCTTGATTGTGGGGACCACGCACTTCTCCTACATTGCTGCCATGTCTGTCTTGCTGGAGCTCCCCTTTGAAACCCTCAGCTTAGGAAGGGCATGCTCACTGAGCACTGAATGCATAGCAGGTGGCTAACACATTACGTCATGTTATCTAACCTTGACAGTCCTAAGGGATAGGACTTGACCTTACAAATGATGAAAACAAGGCCTGGGAATCTCCTCTGAAGTATCAATAATGTAGCAAGTAAGATATGGAGCTGGAACATGTTACCTGACTCCAAACTGGTCTATCACTTCACCAAGTAGCTATAATTCTTTACTCCTTTTGGACCCAAAATGGCATTACCCAACTTGGTTAACATGGCTTATCATATAAGACATTCAAAAATACTGACTCATTACAGTTAACTGGTATGAAGATCTGGGACATTTCCTTTATAGTAGGCATTGTGGGCAACTGTTAAAGCAGCTAAAGGAGTGGGACCAGCAGTTAGCATAATGGCCATGTCGCTGGACTCCCACGTAGTCGACTGCGGTTTGAGTCCTGGACCTGGTGGCTTAAACTCACACCGGGCGCGTATGCGTGCGTGCCCAAGATCCCAAGAGGAGCATGGAGGAGAAGGGATTGCAGCGTGGCCATCCGCCCTGGGGAGTGATTTCTCGCTTTCTATCTCTCTGTCTCTCTCTGTCTTTCTGGCGAGCGCCCGGAAAACCTCTCCCCACAAAAAAAGCTGCTAAAGGAGTAACTGTTTAGCCTTCAAGGGTGGTAACTCTGAAAGGTACAACTTTTAGTCATGTTTAAGGAGGTCTCATAAGTAGGTTTTGAAACATAATTATGGGCCAGCTAATGGCATGCTGGTTAAGGCAGCTGGATTGGACATAGCTAACTGAGTGGTTCAAGTCCCAGACCCAGCAGTCTGAAAAAACACCAGGTACATGTGTACATGCCCCAAATCCCAAGAGGATAAGGTTGCAGCATAGCCAGCCATCCCCCAGGGGGTTGCTTTCTCACTTTCCCCCTCTCTCCAGCAAGTGCACCTGCCCTATAGCAAACTAAAACCAAACAAGCAAAATATTATCTTTTTAAAAAAGAGACACACTATTACAGTCATTCCTTATAAATATCATATGTGAACAGTCTTTTTAGGTTTGAAAAATAGCAAATTTAGGATGACTCACATTTCTTCTATCAAGGATATTAATCTGAAAACCTAACTGATAACTAGAGCTGAGTGAAGAAATGGCCTTACCTTACTTCTTGATACTATAAGAGTGATAAAATTCAAGCCAAATTCTGTCCTTCCAGGAGAAATGACTGTGAAAGACAACTTGCCTGTTTGGTTGCCACCGAAACTGGGCCCTTTAGAGCCAGCTCAAAACTGCCGGGACCAGCAGTTGGCGTTAATGGCTATGTTGCTGGACTCCCATGTAGTAGATCGTGGTTCCAGTTCCGGACCCGGAGGCTTAAACTCACGCCGGGCACGTGTGCGTTCGTGTCCAAGATCCCGAGAGAATAGAGGAGAAGGGATTGCGCGGTATGGCCATCCCCCTAATTTCTCGCTTTCTCTCTCTCTGGCAAGCACACGCCATGCCCTGTAGCAAAAACCTCTCCAACAACAACAGAAGAATTAAACTGCGGCCTTAGATAGTCAGAGACGGGCTTTAAGCAGCACCAGAAATCGAGGATGCTCTCCGTCGTTATTTGCCGAGCCGGACTTTCAATGGGTAACGGTGGACAGAGCAGCTAGGCTGTGCCTCACAGCCTTTGAGTGACAGCAGGCACGCTTTGGGGCTGTCTCCTCCAGTCAAGGAGCTTCAAGAGCAGGAACCCAGGGCCACTCGTTTTACAGCGGTCCTAAGGAGCCGGCCGCCCTTCCTCTAGGTCTCCTTCCCGCCCGCCCTCCTGCCCTCCTGCCCTACCCGTTACTCCTGAGCCGGGCCCCGACCGCCGCTGCGCCGGGGCAGAGAGGGCCTTACCGTCAACTGCGGGGTCCTCTGCACAGACACATGGGCGGGAGCCGACCGGGCGCCGCCATCTTCCCGGAAGTGCCGTTTCTGCCCCTCTAGGCTGTCCGAACCATAGAGACGCCGCCGAGAACCCGAATGCCGGTCCTCCGCAGAGCACCGAGACGGGAGGC